AATTTGTATGACGAATACTTGTGAAGATATGAAGCGTTTTTGATAAAAACCCCCTTAAATTCAGTTTTTTATGTATAACTTTTTTTATAAATGTTTTTTAAGTATACAATGTTCTAAAAAAATTTAAACAACATACAAATACATATTATTATTGCTGAAGACAGTTTGTCGCTAAAATCATCCCTTTCAAAGTTAGAGTACTTTTTACATTTATTTTTCCTTAATTTCAGCTGCATATAGGGGAGAAGGTGGCAAACCGGGACACAGCACCAAGTGCTCTTTTTAAAGCTTAGACTCTGTACTACAAAGTAGTGAAGGTTTGGTTAGCGCCAATTCATAAGTGAGTGAATAGGGTCACGTTGAATGTTCACGTGTTTGGCCTTTTTCTATATAAACATAACCCTGATATTATCAAACTCATCCGTGAACAACAAGGAAATTTTCTGTATGTGTCCATTTAAGTGTGCATGTGAGGAAGAGTATGTAGGTTATTGTGGTATAAAAAGGGGTTTTGAATTTACTTTCACTTTCATTTATCCGCGCGAGTCAAGAAGAACATAATTATCTTGCTGTTAGGTAGTTTTATCTTTAGTTTAACAATAATAATTTTTCTGAGAAGTTAACATGATAACATGATTCACTTTTCATCTGTTTCCTCTTCGCTGTCTGAAAAATAAAACGAAAATTGTGCATCTTCGGAAAACTCTCTGTCCTTCTTCTGAGATTTTACACGCAAACCAGCAATAGGATCTGAAGAAACCAGGATCTGAAGAAACTAATCAGGCCTATTCTTTATTTCGTTTCGAACGAAATTCTCATACAAAAAAATATTTTTTTGTATGAGAATTTCGTTCGAAACGAAATACAGAATAGGTGTGAATATTCGCCGCATGAGATCACCGTTTATTGTAGCTCGTGATGATTTTCGAGTGTGATCTAGTCTGAACCTTTTCAGTACTTTATTTAGCGACTTTTGTGCCTCTTCAAACACAAAGACGTTTACTACCACTCGAACTTAGAAAAAAAAACAGAATTTAGTTGGTCCAGTTTTGTGAAATCGCTGTTATAAAGTCACGCCAAAACTACTTGACAACGTGGTCTGTCCGATAGGAACATTGAAATGGAGAATTATGTCTGAACCGTGCATTAAAATCTTAGGGACCGTGGCGGGTAAAACCAAGGGTATAGGGTTACTAACAACTGAGCTTTTTCTAGACAATAGTTCTTGAACTTAGGTGCATTGATTTCTCGTCCGGAAGACAATACCTGCAAAAAAGTTGAGCAACGTTCTATCACCTGCAGATCAACACCCAAAATCTCTGCAGGAACTGCTCTGCCTATAATCGCATATCAGTCCCATATGGATTTTCGTCAATTTTGAGATAACAACGCTATCCACTATCAATTGGCCTCTGCTTTCATATTATGTGATAAAACTATGGACTTTGATCATGAAAAATGTGAAAACAACATCAGGTCAGTTTGTCCCATCAAGCAAAATAATCGCATATCAATCCTATCCTGAAATTCAATCGCCCAAAGTTCAAGTTAACGATCTGCTTTTTGAATTGCCATATTTTTCGCTGATATAACAAAACATGCAAGCTTCATTGCAACAGATTTTAACTTGAAGAAATTATCAATTAATTTACTATTATTTAGGGGAAATGACGGCTTCGGCATGACAGACTATTTTCGGCAACCCAAATTGAAACACTATTTTCACTGGATTTTCTTACGAAAACACTTCGCTGAATGCATGCAAACGATTTTTTATGCTTTCAGCTTCAATTTGACTATATTTTTACCACTGAGAAAAAGCAATCTAGCAGGGTTTTCTTGAAATGAAACACACGCACTACAAATTGTAGCTGATTTCGAGTTGCCGATAATAGAACAGCAGATTTACATGCAGTTCAAATGGAATGGTTGCCGAAGAAAAACTGGTTGCCGACAATACTCGCTCTCACTAGAGAAGATTGGAGCCTTGTAAAAGCGTTTCAAAACAGTTTTTGACAATTCTTTCGACTGAAATTGTTAGAGCAGCTGGCAGCAAAAGATTGTAAACAAACCAATACTGCATATGTGTGCGTTCCATACAGAAAAAGGCTATAGAAAGAAGGTCGCTGCTTAGGTTGCCGAGAATACGTAAATTCCCCTATCAAATATTTGCATCGAAATTGCACTTCGTAACTTCGACTGCAATTTTCTCAATGCCTACTTTTTCCATATGGGACTGATATGGGATTATAGGCAGTGCTGCATTCACAAAAAAACGTCGTGCAGTATTCCCACGTGGCCGCGTGGCATATCAACAAGAAGTCCCAATTCTTGTTTGAAGCGTTGTCGGATAAGCTGCTTGCGGACTTTAACTTTTTCGGCATCAGGTCCAGTACATCTCCATTTTTTTACTTCTATTTTGTAGCCCAGGTGTAAAAATTATTTGAAAAATCTGTAACAATTTGTCAAATTTTGAATGGATTGAACAACGTTATATTACATTTTTATTATTTGATTTTTGCATGGAGAACTGATAATCCAAACTGAAATACTTCTCCATCGATTGGTCGCAAAAGAACATTTTGAATATTATTCATTTGAGTGGGTTTAGTCTTGCAGATATTACATCGCTGTGCTGATTTGGTGGTCGTAACAGCATTAACAACTTTGCTATCAATCATGGTCATATGTAGCCTATATTCGACTCGGATCCGACGACCATTGATTTCGAATTCTGTTGGCCGAAAATTTTGGAACTTATTATCTACATGCTCTTTTTCTAACCAACTGAATTCGCACGGGTCGGCAGTATCTTGTTGAGGATGGTATAGGGTTTTGCACCACCGCTTTAATTTCACTCTTTTCTAACGAAAATATATATTGACAACTGGAGTACACTAAGCACACAAAGTGCTTGTCTTAGAAAATGTTTTGTTAATGCATACATACAGAAAATTTCCTTGTTGTTCACGGATGAGTATGATAATATCTGTTTCTATAATCCGTAATTTACCGTTCATAAATGAGGAGACAGGGTTATGTTTATATAGAAAAAGGCCAAACACGTGAACATTCAACGTGACCCTATTCACTCACTTATGAATTGGCGCTAACCAAACCTTCACTACTTTGTAGTACAGAGTCTAAGCTTTAAAAAGAGCACTTGGTGCTGTGTCCCGGTTCCCACCTTCTCCCCTATATGCAGCTGAAATTAAGGAAAAATAAATGTAAAAAGTACTCTAACTTTGAAAGGGATGATTTTAGCGACAAACTGTCTTTAACATATACATATAACATATAACATATGTATTTGTATGTTGTTTAAATTTTTTTAGAACATTGTTTACTTAAAAAACATTTATAAAAAAAGTTATACATAAAAAACTGAATTTAAGGGGGTTTTCATCAAAAACGCTTCATATCTTCACAAGTATTCGTTATACAAATTTGATGTCTTGAACAAAGTTTCATATTTTTGTAAGTACTACAACTTTGCTCAAGAAATTACCCTTCTATCTCTTGTGCAAAAAAAGTTATTTTTATAGTGTGCCATGACAAATATTGAAAATCATCATAATATGCGCAATGTTTTTGTAAACAATTCTTTTCAAGACAGTTTTTGGATTAAGTCAACGGTTTGATCACAAAACAATTAAGTTCACTAAATTGGCATCTCCGACCACTGTGCGCTGTTTGCAGGCAATCGATGATAATTTTCCCAAGTAACATTGCAAGCTTTATATAGGTTTTTAGCATTCTACAAGTCTAAATCATGGTCTACAGAACCCTCATAAAACCAAAATTGTTACTTGGGTTGATCACTATTGCAACAGTTGGACATTTGTGTAATTTTCAGTAATGACCTATTGAAAATTGATAAAGTGTTGCATTTAGCATATTTGTAGCAAAATTTCTAATCGATTGGCTTGTTTAGATTTAAAATCCATCCGCTATTGACAGAGTTATAAGTGGTCAAAACCTGACCACTTTTCGTAATGCGGTCAATTTTGGGTTTTTGAAATTGCACCCCCGAAAGACGTAATCCTACGTCAAAAGTGGACTGTATTAGCATAGAGGTAACTCTAAGACTAGAAGGTCCCGAAATAACGTGCTCAACTTTTTGGCTTAGCTCTGGTACTCTCTTCGGTCCCAAACTAATCGATTCACCCCTCGAAACATAGGGAAAAAAGATAAAAAATCATAACTTGATCTGCATGGTCAACTTATACCATTCCCTGCGGAGGATGATAGGAAATGCATTTTGGGTTTGAGTGTATACATTATTTTAGGAATTTTATGGAAACTATCTTCAAGCTAACTTAAAATTATTCATAGATTTTTTTTTAGCTATAATAAGAATTTCGTTGCAGCACTCATCTGAATTTTTCTTTAGTTAATTGATTGTTATCGTATCATCATTAAATTTGTCTTATGGCTAATTCATCTTGAATCTCTTATCCTTCTTAAAATTCATTCCAATTTGCTTTTGAGCTCCCTTGAATACCAATCACAACCCCCCTCGTCTGAACTATTTTCGAATTTACTACCAATTTCTTGAAGTTATTCTCAAAATTACTTGAAATTTCTGTTCAAATTCCATTAAAATTCTCCCCAGAATTCGTTTTTAATCATCCCTAGAATCTAATCAAATGTGAATTGTCATCATAATTATCTAGCCGTCTTTTTAATGAAGATATCTAATTTAATCTAATCTAATCTAATTCGATAGCCAATGCTCCGGAGTGTTAGAATCCTAAAATGTTGTCCAAGTGCAAGAGAAGAGTCATGATTTTTTAAATCTGAGATCTTTAAATACGCCATATTTGAAGTAAGAAATCTTGCAAAGCTCAACAATGTGAATAACTGGCTTAGCCACAAATTATTGAAAAAAAAATCTTAGTCTTGGTCAAGAATTCAAATTTCATTTCGTACAATCTATACCTATGCGTTTACGTTTACTTTACCGCTTCTGATATATGCTTATCCACTTTACCCCACAGAAATGGCGTCAACTTTTCGATGCAGTAAGTATTATCGACTTCTGTTTCAATGGAGAACGAAAGTCAAACTGTATCTCTCCCGTTATGCAGTTCGACCCGGAAGGCTTTGGCGAAATTCCGGTGAATGACTTCATCGAAGCCCTAAAGTCCCCAGAGTTCCTGGCTAATGTACCACCCAACAAGCGTGACATTCTTTACGATCGTGCCTTGAAGGCCAAATCCTCGAAGGCGGAATCGATCTCTTTCCAGGATTTCGTGAATGTGGTAAGTAGTGTTTAACTTGAATTTGTTTCAAATGATTGTCGTGTGTGTTCTGCATTTATCTGCGCTCTGCAGTCATAAAAAATACCCTCCACATTGAGCATAAGTAGTGTTCCTGCACACGGAATGGAGGAAAAAATAACATCGGTTGGCTTATAGGTTCTACCTCAAACTGGCGGTCACATACAGTGCTCGCCGTTGACGATGGACGGTGATGCAGCAAGAAGATCGAATAATTGAGAGATGAAAGTAGCAGGACATTTGTGGACGATACAGATTCTCACGCCACGTTTTACGACTTTCCTGTCGTCTGTCCTTTTTCTTTTTGTTGGGTTAGTTTGGTGGAACGGTTAGTTCTGTTTTTCATAACTGTTTGACTGTGATTTGAAGGATATTTTTTTTGTTGTTATTTTTCAATTATCTCACCTTTGAGATGGAGTTTTTTTTATGGGTTAAGAATAGGAAGAAGTGCTGTGCGGCAAACATCAGTTCAATATTGTTATCGGGAACCATTTCAGGAACAGATTGATTAATTTTGAGAGCTTCTTATTTTATGACGTTTTTTTTAAAAGAAAATATTTGAGGAATTTCAAATTGCTCCGAGGATTACGTGTTAACGGGTTTCCAGGGCCAGCATGGAAAGCTTGCGGCACTATCTAGAGTGTAACATATTTTTATTGAATAGATGTTGCAGAAAGTAGGTAGTAGCAACTTTTAAACATTTTTACTGCGAAAATTTCACTTCTATACATTTTCTACACCAAACATTTGATTTTCTCAATCTTCAGGAAGGACTGAACGTCAATGTTACCTCATTAGTAAATTTCAGTTCATCGCATACAAACGTCCAAGCCCACTGTATTACCCTATAGATGAATCATAATTCCCTACTTTGCCTAGACCAGTCACGTCCGAGGTGTAAAAATCACATTTCAAATCATAATTACTTTGTAATAACGCCACCCAAAGGCCAGCGAGTACTTACACGCAGTCACTGCGGGGTTGTGTGACCATCAGACTGCCTATACGACGGGCGGTATTTTTTTATGCAGACTGGTGATTGCTCTTTTTTATAGTTGTCCGTGTCTCACTTTTTGATGTAGGTCAGTTCCTTGCAACAACACGTCGTCGCATGGGAGGTTTGTTTGGTTGCATCTTGGGCTTTTTATTAGCGTCAACAGACTAGGCTCGAGAAGGGAAGAACGCTGCCGGTAAGAAAGAAGACGAATAAAATGCAATAATTCATGGCCAAATTGAAAGGAGCTTTGACTTTTCGGTCGGAATCGGAAAGGCTCATGCAAAAGGAAAATCGAAAATGTGTGTACAACCACTTTGAAATGGAAGGAAAAGTTATAAAATTAAGATAACAAAACGTCACGTCTGTACGTGTAGCACACAAAGATAAGAGCTGCAGGACACTTTGTTGGGAGTTTTTCAACTGCAGGAATGTTTACCTTTCGTAATTCTTTCATTTTCTCATAAATAGAGCTGAATTAATTTATATTGGATTTCTGACACCAGTGTTCGTTGTAGTCATCGTCATCGCCGTCGTCGGTGCGGTATTCTACAAAGAAGATCCTCTCCCTCGGAGTGTTGGACCGCTGGTATAGGCATACACAATGATCAAACGCTGCTGGACCAACCCCGAAATACGTACATATGGGTGTCTGGGATTACCTGGAGGTCTCCGTCGTTCCGCTTTGTTGCGCTGCCTCACTGTGTGATAATTTATTTTGAAAAATTAAAAAGCTAGATGAAAACAAAATAACCGATCCCGAGCGAAGGAACTATTTAGGCACAATTAGTCTTTATGCAGAAGGACAGTTTTATAAATCTGTCAGCAACAATACACACACAAAAACAGATGCCACGCCGCCTTTTGGTTGCCAGTTGGTGGGTCGAATCAGGGAGGTCGCCCATTGAGTGCGGTGTTTATTGAACATTTGTGCATCTTTAGTTTTGAATTCGTTTAGAAAAATTTACCGCCAATGAATTTTGGATGGATTTGATCGCCTAGGTGGTGATGATGATGAGACTGGCTATCGAAATTGCACGTATTTCCGGTTTTCAAAAAATGTATCCAGGGTTTGAATTTTGATCACAGCCAAGCGGACTAATTGCTCTCTTCTACATTTTCTACTTCTATGGCTAATACGTCCCAAATGGAGCTATGCATCTACTCTCAACTGTTCGTTGGACCTATGGACCATTGGATGTTCTTTGAGCGCTTCCTCAGATGCTTATAGAGAGCGTCTTAAGTCAATTTTTCCATTCGTAATAAGTTTGTGGGATTGGCTTTCCACCGCTTATTTTGAATAGGGGAAATGACGGCTTCGGCATGCCAGACTATTTTCGGCAACCCAAATTGAAACACTATTTTCACTGGATTTTCTTACGAAAACACTTCGCTGAATGCATGCAAACGATTCTTTATGCTTTCAGCTTCAATTTGACTATATTTTTACCACTGAGAAAAAGCAATCTAGCAGGGTTTTCTTGAAATGAAACACACGCACTACAAATTGTAGCTGATTTCGAGTTGCCGATAATAGAACAGCAGATTGACATGCAGTTCAAATGGAACGGTTGCCGAAGGAAAACTGGTTGCCGGCAATACTCGCTGTCACTAGAGAAGATTGGAGCTTTGTAAAAGCGTTTCAAAACAGTTTTTGACAATTCTTTCGACTGAAATTGTTAGAGCAGCTGGCAGCAAAAGATTGTAAACAAACCAATACTGCATATGTGTGCGTTCCTTAGAGAAAAAGACTATAGAAAGAAGGTCGCTGCTTAGGTTGCCGAGAATACGTAAATTCCCCTATATCGTAGAAAATTATCAAACTTCGTTTCCACATATATTTTCATAGCCCAAAAATATTGAAAATGTTTCCAAGTCTTGGGTTTTAAATATGATCTATGTTCGAGATCTGCAAAATAATAAATGATTTTCCCGGTTCTGGGTTTTGAAATTTGGTTTTTGTCCAAGTTCATGATATTCATACATTTTTCTTAGTCAAGATTCTTAGTCAAGATTCTTGAAAATAGACTATCCATATTGCAAAATGTTTAGATCCAAGGTACCGATTAACCGATAGCTGTAGGAAGGATCTCTCTCGCTTTAATTTGGTAGTCATAATATGGTATGACTTCTTAATGAGAGAGAAAGAGAGAGATCCGTCCTATCGGTTAACTAAAAAAAAAGTTCAAATCCGGGGTGATATATGCAATCTTGAAATGTTAGCATCTAAAGAATCTTTTGAAATAATTTGATCCATCGTTATTTGTATTATCTCAAGATCTCAACCTATTTTGGAAGCACAAGAATGTCACAAATATTTCAAGCTCTCACAAGGGAAAACAAGTTAGGGACCTTCGAGTTTTCAAATGGGATGGATTTTGGCGAGAAATTCGTCTACGTGGATTATACTGGAGGGGCAAATCAAAAAATTGTTTGGCGAAATAAGTGTTTTAAACGCTTATAACGTGACCATTTATGGATGGATTCCAATTCTTTTCACAACACTTGATTCAGATTTGATGTAAGACTAGTGTGATATTTGTGTATTGGAAAATTCAACTGACAATTGATGTTTAAATGAATAAAACTTAAACTAAATAGTTACGTTCATCGGTACGGAAAAGGCCAAGTAACCGATGACGAAACACGTCAGCTGATACATTGAAGTCGAACATATAAAAGAAGTTGTTGAATTGCCGACTGGTTGCTCGAATTGGCTCGTGTTGTGTATAATTTCGGTGCCGTGGTTCCAAAAACAGAAAGTCGCGTTGATGAAGAGGCCTCTCAGGGGCATACATATTTAGCTGAGTCAATGTCACCCGTAAGCAGCTTTCCAGCGAACATAGCTTGAGCGACCGTCCGTCTCAACTCTAATGGTTCGATTCCCAGGAGACGGCAACGCTCCTCGTACGGTGACAAGTTTGTTGGGTCACGCCAGTTGAGGAAACGAAGAGCATATCTCACAAACTTGCGTTGAACGGATTCAATTCTAGTGATCCAGCTAGCATGGAAAGGGCACCAAACAACTAAACTTGACTCCAATAAGGATCGCACAAGCGAGTAGTAGAGTGGCCTGAGGCATAGCGGGTCATGGAACTCGTCGGCAATTTTGAAAATAAAGCCCAATTGTCGATTAACTCTGGAGATGATGTCATTGTAGTGGATTCTGAAAGTGAGTTTGCAGTCCAAGGTAACGCCGAGATCCTTTATATCCTCTACACGAGTAAGACAGCGTCCTAAGAGAACATAGTCAAACATGATTGGTTCGAGTTTTCGGTGATTGAAAATAATGTTACATTTTTCGATGCTTAGACTCATCAGATTTCTTGAGCACCAGTCAGCAAAAAGACCTAACATATTCTGGAGATCCCAACAATCCGAGGGACTTTTAATAATTTTGTAGATTTTGGTATCGTCTGCGTAGAAAACGCGGCAAAAAGGTGAATTAGCGGGCTTGTTGGTTACTTGCGTTGTACGTGTTGTTTAAGGCTCATTCGAACAAAACTGACACCAAGTGCAACTGTATCCGCTTATCAACAGAAAGTCCACCTTATCCCTGAAAATTAAGTTTGCTGTCTTCCTTCCTTCCTCCTCGCATTTCAAGCTTATTGCATATCGCATATTAGCTTATTGCGTGCTCTCAACTTAGTGTTCTCTAGATGCACTTCCACAGTTATTAATTGAGAGCTTTCGATGCCTGTACCATTTTTGCATTAGTATAATTGTGTGGCAAGTACAATCATACTTTATGCCCAGGGAAGTCGAGAAATTTTCCAACCCGAAAAATTCCTAGACTGGACCGGGAATCGAACCCAGCCACCTCCAGCATGGTCTTGCTTTGTAGCTGCGCCTTTACCGACTGAGCTAAGGGAGGCCCCATTGTTTGCTGTCTATTGACTACTAATCCTACCTGTTATTGAGTATGGTATGCCAATCTGGGAGAGTTGTTCCAAATACCATCACCTTAAACTGTAAAGGATTCAGAACA